CAAGTGGTGCTAATGCTTCCAGGAGCACTGATCTAGAGGGACCCTGTCTTTAACTGACACCGAGAATGAAATGAATGAATTTGCTCTTTGATAACATTATCATGGGACACCCATGCAGGCCTGCAAAGACCGAAGATAACACTTACTGACCACACAGCCTTTTCTGTTTGTGACCTAACCAAATTTACCCTCATGATTGGTCCAGGCTTCTCTCTATATATTTTATGATTTCTAAAGAATTTGTATTTTATTTTCTTAATAGCCTACAGTTTCTAGAATGTTTTAAAGTATCATGTCAAATTATGAATCTTTTTCCAAATTTGTAACATAGTGTTTAAGTGTATGTAAAATTATCTGTCCATGAAAGCAGAAATTTTCCCAAGTCTGTGACTATATGCTATATAATTACTTCCTAATCATGTAATTGCATACCTTAATTATTCCTTCTTTCCTCCCTACATGTATTTAAATAATTATGTTAATATAGTACATAATTGTAAAACTACAGTACAGTATCACAGATACTTTATTGCTCCTACTGAAAATATGTGCTCACTAACATGAAGCAAATAGTAATTTTTGAATGGCTAGCAGAAGTTAAAAATCACTCTTAAAATTTTTTCAAGTACAAAGTAAGTTATTTTGGAAAACAAATTTTACTTAATGGGTTTCGATTGCTGAAGTGTTCAACATTTTAATTTAGTTCTATTATGTATTTTTGCTAAGTAATTTTTTTAAAGCAAAGGAAATTTAAGTTGTGGATGTGTATTCTTTTCTAAAGAATTTCAATTAATGGTGTTTCAGTTTATGCTTAATACTATCTTAGATAGTCTTATTTTTCATGTGTTTATAGTAGGTCTTCCTCCATGGGAATGACAACTGCCTATTTTGTTCACATTGTATCCTCAGGATCAAATCAGTACTCAGCACTGAGCAGGTATCTATAAAAACTTGGTGAACAAGTGAAGAATAAGAATAAGTATTTTATTGCTTACCTGTTATATAGTAGGTGTGTTGTTAAGTATGTACATACTTAATCATTGCCATGGCCTATGAAAATAGATATTATTAGTGACTGAAGAATAGCTAACAAGTCATGGATCCTTGTCCTTCTGCCACAGAACCTAGTTTCCTGCCACCAAATTATTCTGCCTTAAAATCTCATATTCTGGGGATAAAATAGTTATATATATATATATGTGTGTGTATTTAGGGAGAGAAGAATGGCATACTTTTGAAATTTACATTTAGGAAGACAAGAAACAAAAATTGAAGAATACTCCTTGCAAAGCCTTCTATTAAGGAGCTCATCAGAGATCTGATTTTGTTTGTACATACTTTAAAGCAATTGACCTCAATCTAAACTATGATATTTGCATCCTATTAAACTGTGAATCTAAATGCAATGAAAGTTTTCAGTCATTAAATTTTTCTTATTTTCTAACTCCCATGACTTTGCATAGGAAGAGTTGTTTTTTTAGATTTATTTGTTCATTAAGAAGTCTTCCTGCATGGTTTGTTTCATGTTTTTTGGTTTTGTTGTTTGTTTGTTTTTTCTGTTTTGTTGCTTGCAGTACTTTGATTGAACTCAGGGCCTTGCACATGATAGGCAAGCACTTACGCCTCCCTGCCACAAAGTCTATGTTTTATGACATCATTTCTTCAATAATTTAACTAAATTAGCCTTTTCTTTGTTTATTCTCATATGTCACCCATCTGAGTAGATTTGTCTTGCCAAGGAATATGAGTGTTCACAAACACTTGAGTGAATGAATGACCATTGTTTTTCTTTAAATGGTCCTGTATGAGCTGTAACTCAGAATGAAATCATTCATTTGTATCATAAAGATAAAGACTTTTCGAGAAAGAAGAACATATCAGTCAAATGAACATGTCTCATGGGACACTGATCTCTCCATACACAGAAGCAGGAACAGCTGAGATATTTCTGAAGCATTTTCATCCAAAAGTAGAATTTACCATCTTAGTTTCCCAAATTTTAGATAACTTGCAGTCCTGAAATACTCATTCTAATATTTAAGTGTGTATATATGGAGGGAAAGTCTATACCCTAAAGGGAAATTTAAATTTATAATTAAGTTGAAAATATCTTGAGTATTTTATCTCTAGTTAGTTCTCAGCCATCATTTGGTCATTAATTGAGATTAATTAAAATGCATTTTACCTGGTGTCAAGCACATAGTAGGTGCCCAGTAAATGGTTCTGTAATTGAACAAAGAGACCGTGGCCTAGATCACAGTTGTATAAGTGGAACTGAACACTGAGCTAAATTTTAGTTTGAAAAGAAAGTGTTTAGATGCTATTAGAAAAAGCTGTGTAGAAGGAAAAAGAACAAGCGAAATGTTCACACCTGGCAATTGAAACTTATCAAGTGTTAACTCTTACAGTGATTTTTTTGTTTTTAAAGGGAAGGAATGAAAAAAAAGAAAGGAGCATCATCATCAAACTGGTATCTCCTACACTATGCAAAAAAAAAGTGACATGAAAGTTGTATTAGATGAATAAATTATTGAACCCATTATATGAAGCCTGTAAATATTCAAAGTATTCTTTTCACCATTGATGTTTCTGATTTTGCATGGACTGAGAGAAGCAGGTGCTTCTTAGTGTTCACAGTACATGTAATCATTCCATTCTATGTGATGTAAAAACTCACTCATGAGAGAACCTTCCTTTCACAGGTAAGAACATATAAGTTGGCTTGTATTCATACCTACAGTTACTCCCACCCACTGTCTAGCTCCTCAGCTAGAGACTGTTATTGAAAGGGCACTGTTGGCTTTATAAAATCACAAATGTCTGTTTAACATTTTTCTGCTTACTCAGCATATATATAGACATACATAAATATTTATCCATACATATGTATCTCTATCTAGTGATCCATTTGTGAAATATGTGTTTGAAACTTTACAGCTTATAAAACTTTTTATGTGCTTTATCCCATTTTAGTTTTCTGTAGATCAGGGCCCTTTTCAAATCCCACTTTGGCCACATGATTCCCTGGCTTATTCTTAAAATTGTGCTTGGTGCCATGGACAGCAGAGAAAAAGTGTGCAGTCTACGCCAAGAGACTACTTGAGAGTGAGTTCTTCAGACAAGTAGCTATTAAACTACTAGGTGTTAAGTATAGACATTCAGTGAAAGAAGGACCAGCCATTTCTGATGGAAAGATAAGACTCTCTCAGGGAAATCCTTTGTTTTCCCTTCTGTGGAAGGAAAATAGTAAGATGCATTTTTACATCCCCAGATTATGATCAGGACTTCATAGAAGAGGCTGAGACCTTGTACTGGTGTCACCACCCAACCCTTCCCAGAGACTCACATATGCTGTGGTGCTATTTGTCCATTCGTAGAGCTTGTGCTGTGATAGATACTTAATGTGCTGTCCACTCATATTTCTATGTTGAGGGAGGTCACCTGCCATCCCTGGCAAGTGGCTGGGCTAGCTCAGCTAGATTTAATGTGTATTTTTTGCATTTCTGTGTTTTATTTTGTTGGTGGTACTAGAGTATGAACCCAGGGTGTCCTGTGCTTGGTAAGCAAGCACTGTATCACTTGAGCCACGACCCTGGATTTTTTTTTTTTTTTTTTTTTTTGGCCTGGGCCAGCCTGGACTTTGATCTTCCTGTTTATGCCTCTTGCAAAGCTGGGATTATAGGCCCAAGCCACCATCTCAAGGTTATTGGTTGAGATGGGACTTGCTAACTTGTTCCCTGGGCTAGTTTCAAACCTTGATCCTCCTGAGTAGCAGGTATTACAAGCACAAGCCACCTTGCTAAGTCTGAATTGTTTTTTGTTTTTGTTTTTTACAGAAATATTTACTTCAGAAGTAGCACTTATAAGAAAAAACAGGTGTGATTAAAATTCAGATTAAAAGCTCTAAGATGTATTTTTTCAGGCTAAATGTTATTACTGTCTATATTTCCACATTTATTAAGCCAAAATCTTCAAGTAACTACAAGTTCATAAATTCACAGTGAAATCCAACCAGGATGGGACAGAATGGGTTGCAGGTTTGGAAACAGCATTGCTCTTTGGTGCCCTCTCCAGTGGAGTTCCATGTTCTGTTGTAATTAAGGTTTTCTTACCGAAAATCTGAGTGTGACCTTTTAGATCCTCTGAGTGTGGCTGTGTCTGTTCATTCTAATGGTGTTCTGCTTTGTTGCCTAGGATATGGATCCAAGCTTCCAGATCTCCCATTTGTAGGGGAATCTATACCTTAGGCCCAGACAAGCTGACCAGTCTGAGGGTTAGGAAGATTTTCTCAAAGGAGGAGATGCCATTCCAGTATACATACAGTGCCCTTAATCCTGATGCAGAAATGGTTTTCATTCTGGGGATGGTGAGTCCTAGAAGATCATAGCCAAGAAAATGTCCTACATGGCTTCTGAGAGTTTATCTTCAAGTGGAAGCCATGTGGCCACTTGCTTTTTGTTACATTTTTAATAGCTGTCCCATTTCCACTAGGGCTGTTGTAAAATCATTTACCAGACCATTAAAGGTTTCTGTTCCAGAAATTGGAACCTGCTCTGCCTTCATCTTCACCTTGACCTTTACAGCCTACAACTCCTCCAGCTGCTACTTGGCTATTTCATTTGAAAGTTTCAGCTCAAGGTGAGGACATGACTAAAGTGTTATAACACTTCATAGCAAGCCTGAGGTCCTGACTTCAAATCCCAGTACTGCCCTTTCTCCAATAATAAAGAGCTTCAGATCATCTGGTAGGGTTTCCAGTAGCAACTTGGAATCTGTGTGATCCACAGTAGATTCTTGCTGTGGTGCCACAGCCCACTGCTGAAAATTGGGTCAAGGCCCTCTTTACCAAACAGTTGTCCTGAACCTTCTTCAGATGTTATAGTTCCTAGCTCGGATCCTTTAGCAGTCACCGAGTTGCAGTCAGTTTCCAGTCAACTGCTTGATAGCAGCTTCTAATAGTTGCCTGCTAAATTTGGGCTCCTCCTCTGGTTTTTGCTTATGCAATGATTTGCATCTTTTTCTGATTTTTTTTTTGGCAGTATCTGCAGGTTTCATCTGCCCATGGTCATCTTAGTTTGGAGATTTTCCTAACATTTTCTGAACCTCCCAAATGAAGGAACTTCTTTTTATTTAACAGGAAATAGTCTGTTATAGGTGGCTTAATTGTATATCTGCAGTATGGACCCACTCAGCACAGGGGAGGCTTCAGAATGTACACTGTTTTAACCACATGTACTATTGCAATAAGAGGGCATGGCTCTGCCGGTTCTGATGATCCAAGCTTGAGGGACCACATCTATTGAGGGCATTTTTGCTGGTGATTCTGCTGGACTCTGCAGAATCCAAAGGTGGTGGAGGGTGTTATATAGTGAGACAAAGCAAGCTTCCAGAGTTAATGTTTTCAGTCACTTGCAAGAAGATATAAGCAGTATGAGTTGGCACTTCTTTCAGGAAGTTGGTGTTTGAAGAGAAAGGGAACTGCACTGTCTAGAGTTTTTGTTATTTTGATAAAGAAGGGCCTGGAGTATGTATTCCAGTGGGTTGGGTTCCAACAGAGAGGGAGAGGTTGAGAAAACCAGAAAGAAAGAAGTATATGGATTGAGTGAGGTTTCTAATTATGTGGAAGGTGACAGGAGCCAGAGCACAGATGGAGAGCCTTCAGTAAGAGGAAAGACTTATATTCCATTTTACCAGAAGGAATGGAAGAGGTGAGTAGGTTGGAGTTGTTTACACTTGTGTTGCAGGAAGTGAAAAAGTGTTAAAGAGTTCTAATTTATTTGTGAGATAGAAATATTTGCTAAGATGGGAGGAACAGGAAAGTGATCAAAAGCTTTGAGGACATTTTAGATGCCTCGTGAAGAACTGAATGAGTCCTTTATACTTAGGCTCCATTGTGTGAGTTTTTCCAAGGACAGTTAGCAGGTTGGGAATTAGAGACAGTCTTGGTTTGTTTATGATTAAAGCTTATCCAGGCTGATTGGAAAGAGAAATAACAAAGGGGATCAAACTTTTTCTGAAAAGAATTTTGATTCTGGGTTTAAAAGGAAGGAAAATGCAGACAGAGGAACATGATGATTTGGGGAAAGTAGCAGAATTCAGTACACTGATTATCTATGTCAGGAAGAAGAATAAGAACAACTGAGTGGGGATGGAATCAAGTTCTGGTTAGAGTAGGATGTTACTGTAACTTCAAACAGAATTGCATTTTCATTTTATGGGGCATGCCCAGAGTCTTTGAAAACCTGGTCATAAAAGATTTCAAGAGCTTTCTTAACCCTCCTATTCCTACTGAGTGAGAGAGGTTTTACTGAAGTTTCATATCTCACTTCAGGTGGCTAATAGAATAAATGAAGTTCATCTACTCAGGACTTCATATAGTCAAGTATAACTGTGTCCACATTGAAAATAAGACATTAATGCCCTGAGTATTAACGTAGCCTGTGCTCATTACAGAATCCATGCAGGAGTCAGGTAAGTTAGGCTAAGAGAACCAGTGTTGATCTGTTGTTTTCTTTTTTATTGTACTTATGGTTCTTTTTTGCCTTTGTGGTAGTCTTGTCCCGTGAACTGGACTGGACTTGTCATTTCCTACACTCATAGATTGTTTACCAAAACTAAATTTCAGGTTTTGCCTTACAACATTTTACGTATTGTAGAAAATATTTGATGAGTAGCATCTTAACTACCCTCCTTTACACTGTCCCTATAAATCAGGTAAAAGGATATTTTCTTTCACAAGTAGAGAAATCAAGGCATAGAACAGGTTCAAATACTTACGCCATTGTGCTTATCAATGACATAACCTTAGAGTCTTAATGCTAAACCTGACTCCAGAGCAGTAACAACTAGTGTCTACTCCATACTGAATTTTGATCAGTTGTATTCTTTTTTTTAAATTGTTGTGCTGGGTGGGGGTACATTGTAGCATTTAGAAAAGTTCTTACAATATATCAAACATACCATACTTGAATTCACCACCCCCACACTGCTCTCTATCATTCCCCTTCCCCCAGTTGCTGAAACAGTTTCACAGTATCATTTTTGCATTTACATACATGTGTTGTATACATTATTTCCACAGTATCCATCCTCCTACTCCTTTCCTCCCCCAACCTCCTCCCCCCAGGGGTGCCACTCCCGCAAAAACCTATTCTGCCCTCCTGATCAGTTGTGTTCTTTAACTATCAATTTTTTAGTCCCTAAGGCATCCCTTCACAATACTGTGCAGATGTGGAATAAAGTTAAGTGAACTAATGTATGCAAAGCAGGCAGAATGGTGACTGGCTCATGTGACAGGTATTTAGCAATCTTAGTTCTCTGGTGTCCCCAAATGACACTGTGGCAGTCTTTTAAGCTCAAGAATGGTGTTAGTGAGCTGCAACTGAATGCCACGCCCAGTGTCACCACCCTATTCTGCCCTGTGGTGCCAGTGAGAAAATAGGAATAAAAGACTTCACAGTCCTTTATCTTTAGGGAGAAATTAAAAAAAAAAAAAACCATGGAAGAAAAGAGCATCCTGCTTTTTCCCTTCCTCTCCTGTTATAATACATACATACCTGGAAATGTCACAATGAAACTCCCTTTGTAGCTATCTTAAACAAAAATGCCTTTTTTAAAAAGTGAAGAATGGGAAAATAAAACAGGTCCTGTCCGGGGATTGGTGCCAGTGGGAGGAGGAGGATACAAGGAAAGGAAATAGGAAGGTGAATGTGGTGGAAACATTACATACTCATGTAGGAAAATGGAAAAAGGAAACACGTTGGAACTATTCCAGTAATATGGGGAGGAGGGATAAAGGAGAATGATGGAGGAGGTGAATTCAACTATGATATATCATAAGAACATTTGTAGATGTCACAATGTACCCCCTGTACAACAATAATACAATAATAAAAGAAAATTTTAAAAAAGAAAAGAACAAGCTGGCAGTTCTGGAGCTGGATTCTAAACCACAGGGCCATCAGAAACTTCCAGTTAGGCTGTTTTTAGTTTCAAGTAACAGAAATTAAACTCAGCCTGTCTTATGCAATTTTTAAAAAGAAAGAAATGTATTGGCACAGAGAATGAAAAAGATGGCATTGGAATTGATTCTGTTGCCTCCATTTTCCTCAGGGCTGGGTTCATTCTCAGGCAGCCTCTCCAACTATGGGAGGCAGAGATGTTTCTGTACTCAGGTGTATATCTTATCTCTAACCTCCCACTCTACCCAAGCAGGAGTTTTCTCTTCCCGGTAATGCAAACAATGCCTAGAATTGATTCCCGATAGCTGTGACTAGGTCATATCCACATCCCTGAAGCCTCTGCAGTGGGCACGGGATGGGATGCTGTGAATGTCTGGGGGTGGGCCACGAAGTAGAGACAATATCACTGCGCTTTATACCTTGAAGATGAGAAAGCGATATTTTTCTGTGTGTAAAGTCAGGTCCTATTATCAGAAGAAAAGATAGATGCTGTCACCCAACTAGAACAAGTTCATCACAGCCCAAACCCAGCAAGGTTCCTTAAGAAATAAAGCTTATAATGTGTAATCTTGACCCTTATCAGGTTATAGCCCTCCTTAGATTTTTGTTTATTCAAATAAAAAGAGTTCTTGTATCATTTTTTTTATCTCATGAATGACTTAGACAGACCATGGGACAAACTAATATGAAAACTGGGAGGTTTGGTCTTCGTATGTGAAGGTATACTTCATACCCTAAAATATAATTTGTGAAATACATTTTAGCACTTTATTCAAATTAAAGTTCTTAGCTTCCCTTGCATCATTAATCTGAAAGCTTTGCATTGTGAATTTATAGGTCAAGTTATTGTGTGATGTAGGGAGTTATCCAACCCATTGTTTTATACATAGTAAATGATAAATATATAACATTGGCATGAATTAAGAAATAATTAAAATTTTCTACATGTGTGTATTTCAAGTATTGCCAGTTTTTAGGATATTGATAAAGTCGGACTGAATATGGAAGCTTAAATTCCATGATTTTATTTGTCTTCTAATGTAGGCTAAGTTTAGAAACTTGTTGAGAAAACAGAGTAATCTAAGCAAATCAAGAACTTTTTATAATTATTGAGCTTTGACCACATTCCACTTGTCAGACCCCTAAGTGACTCACAAGACTGTACTTTTTAACTGCTGTGACAGGACATCTGTACATAGCAAATTTGAAACCGGAGGAGAAAAATAATAAGAACATTGCCAGTTTTTCTTAGGAAGAATAGTTATTTAGACATTTGAATAGAGTTTTCACCTGGAGTCCAATCACTTATTTTTGCTGAATTGTCTTGAGTTCAATGGAATCAGAGATTTATGAGGCCTTTTGGGCTTTATTGGGGGAAACAAAGTCACAGTTTTGAAGAAATTGACAGAATTTTCAGTATGACTCATGTTTTTCTTTGACTTTGAAGAGCAAACTTTATGTTAATGGAAACTATCAGTGTAGTACTATTTAAAAAGTTGCCAGTGGACCTTAATCAACCCTGCCTACCAAGGAAGAACCTATTACAGAATATATACTTATATACATATGTATATACATATATATATCCTTTTTTTGTTCTAGTGTGTTCTGAAATTTCTGACTTTGTGACTGAACCCTGTGTAGTCAGTGGATAAAGTAGGCCTCATTATTATCATGTGTGCCCAAAGTACATAGGTTACATCTATCTCCTACATACTGGTACTTTCATTGAGGCTTTAGAAACCTGAGTTTGATGAATCTGTGTGAGGCCCTGGTTCAACCTCATTGTCACAGCCAGCCACAGGTATAGATCTGGTGGTGACTATTCTTGGGATTGGTCTGAAGAGAGATTGTGAAAGCACAGATATTAGATGGCACTTGGGAGCTTTTAAAAAATCTTTTCACTTTCAGCTGCATCATCCTAGAAAACTACTTCAAATTTTGTAGTTACTAAGTCCCTCCCTTCTAGAAATTAGAATGTTTTTTATGTTAATTTCATTAAAAGACTTATCTTGAAAGTTAAAGTACCTATTCAACCTGTTTACCATGAGAATGGTTCAAAGTATTCTCTAGAAGCAGAGTCAGAATGGATCTTCTAGAGATAAGCACTATTGTGCACACACTGTACACTTGGTATAGTAAAGCCAACAATGGGGTTTTGCTGTTTGGGGAGTAATTACTATATTGCTAAAAGAAAGAAAAAGCTTCAATAATCATGTAGGGTTTTGTTGATAAATCTTGAGTTTCTTGCTGCTTTAGGATAAATTGGTATCAGAGGGCTAAAACAAATACAAAGTAAAGGGACAGCCTGAAGTCTTGTACTCAAGTAGTACCCAGCTGCCAGCTGCACAGGTGGCACTTAGCTTCAGGTCTGTCTACCTTACTTTCTGTTAATCTATTTTTCCTTTTGTCCTCCTCCCCATCCCTTTTTCCATCCTTAAATTTCAACTTAAAGACCATTCAAATTCCTTTGTAATTGTTCAGTAATCAATTAGCTTTCCAAATCAGTCATAATTTGAAGTACACTATTTAATTCTTAAATCACTTAACTTCACCAATTTTTTAATGTTAAAAAAAAACTCCAAACAAATATAATTCTAGGGGAGATACTGAAAATCTTAGGGTGGACCTGATATGCTAATTTTTGTCCTAAGCAACTTTTGTGTTCAACATATTAACTCAAAACTAGGTAATTATAATAAAAATAGTGACTTTTTCAAAAATATAGTAGGCATAGATGTATGTTT